TTTGCATCCGTTGCAAATTTAGTATGGAATACAGATTAGATCATTTATTTGAATCAAAACAAACAGAACAATCTTGCAAAACTCTGTCACACTACACACTGTAGATATTTCCATCTGTTTTGATACACTGCAATGTTTACAAGCATGTAAAGTTATCATTATTAATTATTATTATTACTATCACTTATTACCATTACGATTTAGTATTGTTATTTATTATTGGCATATAAATTAAGTAATATTGTTTTGCAAAGCGGTGCAAATTACCGCAGACTTGCAACAATTTATAGCACTTTATAAAACTTTCAAAACAAAATATTTGTTTAAATATTGCAATGTCTAAGCTGTTTGAGTGTGTAAATCTTCTTTCGCTTAAACAATAATAATCTGTGTTGCTGTTTAAAATTCTGGCAATAATTTTTTGTATTTCGTTTGCATTTGTTTTCGAGATTTTTTAAATATAAAATTAAACTTTTTGAAAGTCTTCCTCACAAGAACTTGTGGTTATTAAATGCTGTATTTCAGTGAATGCCTGAAAACATTTTATGAATAATTTTAGGAATGTGCCAAATTTCTGGAAAAATACTTGCAACATTATAACAAAGCAGATGTATTCGCTGTGGAATATGAGGAAATATCGTTAATAAATTTGCATAAACGACAAAGATCACTGCTGAAATTGTTATACGTTATTTTAATTTTAATTAAATGTTCGCTACAAGCAAATGCTTTTGAAACTATTGCGATAGCAGAATGTATGTTCTGGCAGTATTATCGAGAGCAAATACCAACGGTCAACTATTCTACTCCCACTGTAGAAATGATACAGAAATATGTCCATAAACTGAAGCAAAATTTATTGTACTGCTTGAAAGTGGATCGGTACAAATTGATTTGGCATTTTAAAGTTGGTTAGTTTTGCAAAATTGTTAGCAATGATCAACAATTATTGGTAAAAAATTTTTTCATATTCTTTAAAAAATATTTAACAAATAAAAACCACATTAAATTTAGAAACTATAAAGAAATGCATGACAAATATTTTTACAACATAACTTATTCCTATAATATTCTCAGTATACTTTGTTAGCACATTTTTCTCAAGAAAAAAAAGAAATAGCAGATAATTTTGTTCATAAAATAATTTGGTCATATTAGCATACTTCAGAACAATATTAGAAACCAATAATATTGATAATATTAATTAGTAAAGGCAATCAATGAAAAAGGCTCTTAAAAGTTAGAAAATCGAAAAGGCGATTAAAAGTTAGTACCAACCAATGAAAGTTTTGATGCTTGTTGTTATTAAAATTTGTTGAATTAATTGGCAATTTTCGTTATTGTTAAACTTTTAAAACGTGCAAAATTCAGATCAAGAAGGGGAAATGTACTATTACTTGGATGTTTCTGTTGTGAAAGAATTACCTGTATTCTACGCACAGTTTATGGATGAAATATTCGCAACTGCTAATAACATTTCTGCTATGAGTAAGAATCAATTCGATAATCTGGTAGCTGAATCAGAATTGCTAGTGAATTTTACGCATACTGTTGGCATTAATAAAACCCATCTAATTACTTTACACGAGCCGAAAAGTAACAAAGCCAAGGAAGAGCCTGAAATTGGAATACTCTGCGCAGGAATAATTTCTGAAATCTTTCCATGGGAGCATGTCCAGTCCAATGATCCCATTGATTTCATGTGCAAAGCACAGGTATTGTTCAAATCAAACATACTTGAGCTGAGATCGAAAATCCAAATTCTGAAAGTTATACGAGATTGTTTTTTTTATTTTGTTGGGCAATTCAGTGTATATATATAATATATAAATTTCATTTTAATGTGTTATTCTAGATATCTACCATCATGCATTTCTGTATAGTGGTCATTGTGCAATGCAATCTTTATTTGCTTTTGAAAGATTACATGAAATTTTTTGCATATTTTTAGCTGTTTCATTTTTTCACAAGCTTTTATTGTTCAGATTCTTAGCCCTCAGCTATCAAACTCACGTAATCTTAGTTTGTTCAAACAGAATTTCGTCAAAAACTTTTAACATTAAAACATTCTAGGTGTCTTCATTTGTAATTGTCGACTTCACTAGATTCACTATTGACCTTGAAGATGTCTTCAACTTTGATTCCAGAACTGATATTGTGATTTTGTTGAATAATGAAACAGATGATATGATTACTAATTTCCGAACTGATGCTCGCTGTTTGTTAGATATCAAGAACCAATCAGTCGAGTCACTAAAGAAATTTTTCGAGAAAGTAATAATTTTTGACAAAGTATCAAAAACCAAAAAATGAAGTTTCTGAAATCACATATCAGCTTATGAAACTACATCTTACTTATTAAAGGTTTTGATTTTTTCTCAACCCCCTTTTATGGATGGTTCTTATTCAATATTTAATGTGTTAAAGAAAGAATTGAAGCTTTTAAAAGTGAAAACTTCGGAACCTCTAGAAGTAAACAAAAATACGAACAAGGAAGCAGCAAGAGAAAATGCGAAAAATGCTCAAATAGTTTCACACTGTTTCTTTACTTTTCATAGCAGTTAATTTCAATATATCTGCTCAGTAAACCCGCTAAAACCGAAAGACGGTTGCATTTTTTCGTTGTTAAGTTTAAAATTTTCAACAATTTAGCTAATTTTCGGATGTTCGGTAGAAGATTGCTTAGAAATGCTAGAAAGTGCTGAAATACGATTGTTTGGTGATCGCTCGAGTAAAATTCGTAAGAGTCCTGTGCAACGTACTCGAATGATGATAATGAACATGGAACAGGAAGGACTACCTCTCGAAAGTCTGCAGGTCTCAGAAAATGATCAAGAAATAATCAAGACCTTCATAGGTAAAATGTGTCCATGCAAAACTTTTTTGAATTGATGAATCAGACTCATTTGTGCTTCTTTCTGTCAAAAGGCAGTTTCGAGGAGCATATTAGAATCGTCCTAACACAAACTTGATATTAGGTCTCAGTTTAAATGAATGAAATGAAGTAAATTATCAAAAAATAATAATAGATTAAACGATTATTTAAAGGACTACCAAATGCACTGCGAAACTATTTGCTGGATTTAATCAAACGTCAACCTAAAACAAATGAAATTCAATTTCTTGTGGAAAAAATGGAGGATATCAGTGCGCACAGCAAAATCGCACCGCAGTATTCAAACTGCTCTGAATCTGAATATGCTCAGTTTGAGCAATTATTTGCTGCGATATCACTTCAAGAACAAAATACAACACTAAAATTTGTCAAGTTTATTTTTAAAGGTAATTCAATTTTAATGGTTTCAACATTACAAGATTCTCATTTATTTTAAAAACATACAGCGAATTATTAGCAGCAGTGCCGAATGTTCGGAACTTCACGATTAAAGTTTACTATGCGTTTTTCAAAGACTAGCATTATTGTTTCTGTAGATCATCTCAATGTGTATGACGAGATATCATGTGCAAAACTGAATAACCTCGATGAAGAAATAAAGATGTTAACAAATAAGGTTCAGGCAACACGGAAGAAACAACAAAGAAAAATATCACGCATACGAAGATCGCATTCTGAAGGCGAAAGTATGCTTGTCATAAGAAAATCAAAATTCAAATATCTATATTTAAGAGATGTCAATTAATCGCCTGACTTTGAAAAGCATTTTTAGATTCCCGCCGCAGTTCCGTGTCGAGAAATACTGATATGGAAGCAGCAATTATTGATATCGAATTCCACGAATCCGAATAGATGGTACAATTTTTGAATGCTGATACAATTGTAATTTATTAGAATAGCTTAGAATTATTCACTCTTAATACAATAATGTGCATTTGCAAGCAATATATATGTAGGTTGTTCATTAACTTTTGAACAATTATTAAAAAATATTTTTCAGAGAAAGCAAAAAATTATAGCGATTAACACACTGAATGTAAAGTTAGAACTAAAACATAACACATAACGAAAATAAGGAATGGAAAGCTAACAGTAATGAAAAGTAATATTTAAAAAGTGATAAAGCTATGGCTTGAAAACACAAAAAAAAACTTATTTTGTCAGTGATTCGGAAAATGACTGAGCATTTTTTCAAATGATCAAAATAGATTTTTACTAGATGTTTTTCATACAAACTAATGTAGCACAGAGGCATTTTTTGATCTTATATTGATGAAAAAATCGAAACAATACAATAACTTAGTGAAGACTGATAGTATGATTTTCATTCATCGCTGATAACATAATTGGGATGAACAACTACAATAGGATCCTCGTCGGTCTCTGCATTTAACTGAATTAAAATATTGTCATCCGTTATAAGACGCCTTATAACGCGCTCACAAATGGTTTTCTGACGATTGTATTCTTCTTCCGAATCAATACTTTCTTCCATCATATCCAAATACCTGTGATAAAAAGAAGCCATATATATAAAAACATAACGAAATGAAAATTTCTAATTAATTAATCATTTTCCCAAAGATCAATTTACAAAGACCTAACCATTGAACAAGTTGTGACTGGCGAACACCTTCCCAGTTTTCAGAATCTTCTTCAGTTTCTTCATCATGTCTAATATGCAGCACCAGCATATCAGCTATTTGCTTATAAAGTTCAAACCTGCAACCTATTTTCATAGCATCGATCTTACATGTTAAATAAACAGCTAGAAAAAGTATTTAATGAGTAATTGTAACGAAAACAATTAAAATCAAAGACGAAAAATTGATCTTCTAAGACTAACTTGATTTTAAGCTTTCCTGAATCAATTTTTTTGATTCTTTCATCATGAGGTTCTGTTTCTTGAGTATGTTCATGCAAGACATTTTCAGAACTTGGGCCAACTCCAACGTTCATCTAAACTTACGATGTTAGACCAAAAAAATTGAAATTGAAAACTGTTTAGAAAATATGATCATAATTCTTAAGAAAGAAATACTTCTGCTTCCAAAATCGCATCATCGTCATCATGTAAGACAATATCGGGTTGCTCGATACGCACTATTGACTTGCTTAGCAGTTTTGAAGCTTCATGGACGTGTTCTACTTTAACCTGATAATAGCATTGGCAAAAGTAAAACTGATGTTTTTTCAAATGCAAAGAAAAAAATATTCATTTTAGTAGAACTGAAATAAAACGAAAAAAGAATTATAACAGAAAAATGGAGCAAATAATGTCCCAGAATAAAGTAATGAAACTTACTTCGCCTTCACAATGCAGTCTAGCTAGAGCTTCAGAAAGACGTATCAATGATTCCAGTTGCCGTACAGTTATTCTCCATGATGAAGTAGCGGAGATGTTGCTATCACTCATGCGCAAACGTTTATATTCAGACACGAGAAGCAACGCAGCAGCATCACTAATCTACAAAATATAATACAGATTGGATAGGTCTTTCTAAACAACTTCGAGAAATGAAAGATTTATTATTAAAAGACAAAATCTTTTGGTTTTTAATATTTGACAATTATTTTTAAGTTTTTAACCTTTGGTTTGAAACAACGAGCAAAAGTGATATATCGTTGGATATCATCCAAGCTATAAACAGTCTGTATTTTTTCTTGTGTTGCTAAATGATGGTGAGTGTCCAGTATACGACGGGCAATAGCGTAATCGACGATCTGATAAAAATTGCAATAACCTATTATTTATCAATTATAAATGAAATATAATATTTACAAGTTATTCAGAAAAAAAATTTAGTAATTCTTATATCTTAAAACATGAAAACTGGAACTTGCACCAATTATTTGATACCTAAAGCTATTTTTTCTGATCCAATCAATCAACAACTTATTATCTAGGAGTTGGAAATGATGATATTGATAAGCTCAGTTGATGATTTCTTCGTTCTTACTTTCAGACCATTTTGTTTCAGACTAATTGTAGATGATACATGGCTACATACCTCATTGCACTCATCAACTAAAACGAAGAAAAGATCGAATCTAGACATAATGGGGGCAGAAAGCTGAATATTGTTTTTTAATGGTCTTGAACGATCATAACGGCCACCAACTGGATTAGCTGCAGCCAAAATTGAAGCACGAGCATTCAGTGTCGCTTTTACTCCGGCTGAAATGCATACAGTAATAAATTTCTAAATTATACTATCGATAAAATATAAGTTAATTGTGAATTCATAGTCGAGATAAAAAAAATTTAACCCTTCGTAATTGATATAGTTTGTTGCTCCATTGCTTCGTGAATTGCAACCTGATCTTTGATATCCATTTTATCAAATTCATCAATACAGCAAACACCCTGTAATATTTAACTTTAACAAATATACAAGTGTGTTTTTAGACAATTTTTCATATTTTAAACATCAGAGTTGTAATTTTAAATATCTATGATTAAGAAAACTAACATTATCGGCAAGCATTAAAGCACCAGCTTCAATAACAAACTCAAATGACTCTTCATCTTTCACAACTGCTGCCGTTAAACCAGCAGCAGATGACGCTTTACCCGATGTATAGACTGCTCTAGGAGAAAAATGTTCCACAGTCCTTAAAAAATATCAAATTCATAAATTAAAGTAATGTACTGATAACAGTTAGTGAGCTACATACGGACAACTTACTTAAGAATCTGACTTTTTGCTGTACTTGGATCACCAATCAAACAGACGTTGATATCGCCACGTAAAGTAGTTCCTTCTCCCTCGCTTCGTTTTTGAACACCTCCAAATAACATCAGAAGCACTCCCAACTTCACCTGCAAAGCGGTTAATTCTGTATTCTGTATTTCATTAAAAATTTTGGACAAAAACATCTAAATTTTGAATAAATTAAAATAAGAGTAAATACACAGACAAGATTAAATATTGTTGGTTTCGTGCAAAAAAATATTATCAGGATAAAAAAGTAAGTGATGATAAACAAAAAATAAGCAGCAGTGAATGACCTCATCATTTCCATAAATGTCTGGAAATAAACTGTTAATGAGATTTTGTACAATTAATTTGTCCTCACTCATCTCACGCATAACTTTCTTTTCGCTTTCTGATAATTGCGCCCACAACTCATTGTGATCTAAATCTTCTCGAGCTATGACTCGACTTCCGAACTAAAAATAAAATTGTGATTCACACTGGACACTGACACTCATATTACATTATGCTAGCTTATAATACATCTACACAGAGATGATTCCACACAGTAAGTTTTGTGCAAAAAAATGTTCATAGGGTAGAAAATTACTTGATAACCACGTAATTTTAATTTAATCAAAAAATGGGGCCCTCAATTAGCTAGAAGCTCTAATCGCGATATATGAAAATAAATTCAGTGCCAAAATTTTAATTTTAATTCAAAAAATTCTTCAATCTTCTTCTTGTTTTACGTCAGTTTTTGCTAACTAATATGCTTTTTCACATAAAATAGATAAAAAATGAAAAAATGAACTGAATAATATTAGTCTAACCGATGGAGTTGAGGCAGTAACGTTACATGCGAGGAATGCTAGTTTATAATTCATTTCTCTTACTCCCAGAGCTTTCAGACCCGTAACTCCCTCTTGATCATTTCCCAGACCAGGACGTCGATTGCCTTTAGTAGTTTGTGCTCGAATGCCTGAATATAAGAATTTTCACCATTTTTTTCCTTACAATTCAAATCTTAACTTACTGTCAAAAACTGAAATACCTGGAGAACTCAGCTGTGCTACATCTGGAATAACAATCAATGTTCCAACAAAATCACAGCGATCACCAGGCTGAATAGTTTCAACAAGTTCACCGCGCAATATTACATCTAAGCTCAGCGGTATACAACCTCGGGGCAATTCTGTTTGAGTCTCTTGCATGCGTATTTTCTAGAAAGAATATACTCATTACTCAACAACGTTTATTTTCGAAAAATAAAAAAAAACGGCGTTTTAAAGTACCTGAAAATCAATGAATGAAGATTCATATATATCCAATTCAAAACGATTACCATTGCTACATTGTTGATTTGAACACTGCGAAGGCTAAAACCAATTTCACTCACAACTTGCTTTTGCAAAGTTTTAAAGTAAATCAATGATTCTAAATTAAACTGCGAAATGCTACATAAGTCAACAAATAATACCATTCATAACTAACAAATGAGGCAAAAAATTTGATATTATTCTTTCAGATGTATAATACCGGTGTGTAACGAAACTGCTGCTCAACATTTCTTATTTTCGCTCCACAATCATTGCAGACAAAAACACCTTTGTGAAGCTCGGGATGCACTGGATGTGTTCGCACTACTTGTCCCGAAATACAGGTCAATGCTCCAATTTTACTCGCTGTTAACTCACGAACTCTGAAGTGTACACAGATTTTAAATACTTCAAAACGTAAATTTAAAAATAATGAAACCAGTCGTTTCCATAACCATGAATTCAAAAGAATAAACAAAGTAAAAAAATGACATAGTGAAAACAAAATACCTGAGCTTATTTCTAATTTGTCCAATACTGACATAAAATTCTTTTTTTCGTACCCTCTGCTTGATATCCACATCACTACAGCTATCCATAACATTCAAATGCAATGCTTTACATAGAAATGGATAAAGCCTGTGAAAAATGGACATCATGAATTCAAAAGAATAAACAAAGCAAAAAACATGTCATTAAAGCTTTTAAACTGTTCAACAAATAAAAAGAAAATAAAAAATAAAGTAATTAACCGATAGAACTGTAATTCAAGTGCCGATGCAAGAGTATTGCTAAAGGAAAAAAGATCGTCAAATTTGATGAATAAGGTATTACGCTCCGAATGATATAGATTTGGGATCTCTTTTCTGTAGATCTGTACTTTATTATCATCCTCGAATCTGAAAAAATTTGCTTCAAGATTTAAGAGTAACATTTGAATGACAAAAACAGTCTTCTGCGAATCTGAAAAAATAATTATCATTTTCGAATCTGAAATACATACCATAAAAATAAATATCCGATCTTTAACGAAATATTATCCATTTTATAGCACTGCAATTGCAAAAATATAATGATATTTACATAAAATGAAAAGAAGAGAAAACATTTTTACTCATTTATGAAGCGATAGAATTCGTTCTGAACATGTGTCCCTTCCGTATCTACTATTTTTGAAAGTGTTACAGTGGTATCCATCAAATCCTTATCAATTACTCTGAAAAGGGAATGTTACGCTTTCTCAAAAGCATAAATTTTTTAATGAAAATAAATCAGGTTTGCATCTTTTACCGGCATTCAGCAAATTCGCAAGAGAAGTAAACATTTGAAGTGTTATTGCAGATTTGCGTGTGAATTAAAAAGAACTCATGGAATCATAAAATTCATTTGATTTTGATTTTTTTCTTGATAAAAACAAAACCAACACTAAAAACTCAACATATTAGAAATAATGAGTTTTATTTAATTATATTTTTGTGTTCTCTAATATTTATCTTTTGATTATTTGACAAGTGATTCGTGCAAGAATTGTGTTCAAAACAAAATTAATACTGATTCATGACACAAAAAGTTACAATAATTCAAATCTCTAACGCGTGTTTAGTTTCAGTTACTAATTTTTTCACGATAAAAGTTACACATTAAACGAAGGTAATCGAGTTCTTCTTTATTTACCTCAAGATCAACAACAACTTAAGTTGATACGTATTAACTCTCACTATCCTTACACTGTTCTTCTTCACAAATTTACAAACTAACCTCCATCATCCACAACCCATAAGTTTCAGAAGAATGCCTCAATCGGCAACAATATTTTACTCCGTTCGTAATTTACCTGTTCCCGCTTCATCTCATTTTGCAATTACATAATCCCATATGCAATGATGTGGTTCCTAAAATTTCATAAACAGCTCTTTCAATGGGCCGTTAAATACAGCACAGACTTATTACGTCGGACTCTTTCAGGACTGTTATGAGTTCGTTTCTTAAGTTTTAGTAATGATAGGTTATCTGGTGTGTCTTGCGTTTTATGACAAGTTGATCAGCAAATCATGTAATGAACGAGTATTTATTTAGAGCTACTTTATTGGAGCGGACTTTGCTGGATATCAATGTCAAGAAGTTTTCATTAATTTTTAACAAACTGTGTCATAGAAAGTAGCGTGAGAATCATGTAATGAGCGAGTATTAAGAAACTAATACTTTTGAATACGTGTTACTCACACGTTTATCATATTATCTGAATAAGCACTCTTAATTCACCCATTCCTGACAGCACTTTATTGGTGTATCTCTTTTTCTCTCTTTCATTTTTTCAAAATTAATTATAAGTAGTGTTTGCAAATGAATGAAATTTAATTGCAAATTTATTGCATTGTAGCAATATATTAGTTATGGATTTTCTTCGAAAAATAAATGAATGATTTTATGTTTTATGTTTTTTGAAATGCGTAGTAAGGGCGGGTGCATTATTTTTTCCATTTTCATGAAGAAGAAGGCAGTATTCATTTTTCAATGTTGCTTTCATCTTCATGATTATTATTAGTAGTAATATCTATGTTTAAATATTTGTCATATTTTTTCTTAATAAGATGTGCTCAATAAATATAGGTTTCTACGATTTCATTGGAAAATGGCGTCTTCTTCACGTCGACTACAAAAGGTAAATTTGATATTAAAATCATTAAGCATTCTTCATAGAATGCATTTATAACATGCTTTGACTATATTGACATGATTATTCGATGTGTTACGTTCAGAGGTGATCGAGATATGTCTCAGTGACATCTTGTGTGCGTGCATCTAGAAAACGAATATAAAACTGATTCTTGTATGTTCGTCTACTTCTCAATTTATTTGCAGAGTTTCAATATTAAAATCCAATATCGCGAGATGATTGCATCATTTAATTTAATCATTTAATGTTTGTTATTGTCAGATTCATTTAATTGCTTGAAATGCCTCATTTTTTTGAAGTTGACAGATAGTGGTTTTGACATGTGTTACAGCACGTGTTTGTAGGAATTGGTAGATATTCAATTATCAGATTCAAGGACATTTTGCTGCATTGAATTTGACCAGGATAATTTGCTCCATTGGACAGGTCTTCTTTTGCCCGTATGTTTGAATCTTATTTACAGTTAATGAGCTTTTGTCGTTTCAAATATATCTGCCACTTGAATTTATGTTGTAGAATTTACTTTAAGATCCATCTGGCAAGAAAATAATGTACTGATTCCGTTGTTAAGGAATTGACTTTGTATAGATGATAGTATTGTTCAGTCTACATTTACCATAGAACTAGCACTCTAAATATTTGAAAACTTCACCTGCTGATTCGATTGTGACTTTGGAAGATGGAAATTCTTTTTCACAAAAGTATGTTAAGCACGATGAAATAAATATTATCCCTCATTTACAGGATAAAGAACCATACAACAAGGGTGCATTTAAAATAGCCATAGATTTTCCAGTAGAATATCCATTTAAACCTCCAAAAATTACCTTTTTGACGAAAATCTATCACCCAAATGTTGACGAGAAAGGACAAGTATGTCTTCCGCTTATATCACCTGACAACTGGAAACCTACTACCAAGACTGAGCAGGGTTATTTTTGCATGTCTGTGATGCATTGTTAAAAATTGAACAATTCATTAGAAGTATATTCAGACACTGATATTTGATGTAACAAAGTTTTTGAGATTTCTAAATATTAATCCAGCGTGCAGGTATATTCGAAATTGGGCATACTGAGTGATTTTGCATTAAGTTTGATAAAATTATTAATTCAAAATGTTCTACGTAATTTGATGTAATATCTGTATATGGATAAGTAAGTTATCTTAAATAATGATGTAAAGAATTATGATTAAAGGAAATTTTAAATGAATCGTTATTCAGTAATGAGTGCATTACTTGGTTTGATCACGGAACCAGAGCCAGACCATCCTTTGCGAGCAGATATAGCAGAAGAATTTACAAAAGACAGAAAGAAGTTTAACAAGGCAGCAGAAGACTATACGAAAAAATATGGTATGAAGCGACCGGATGGTTACTAGAAAAATTGATATGAAGAAATTATTTTCATTATATTTCATATATGTTTTTGTTATTTTCATCCTTCTGGGCAGTCTGAAAACTTCTACTGGTCCATCATGATTTCATCATATAACTATGATTCATCATAATTTTCATTACCTTATGTACGTAAATATAATGGTTTATTTTGTGAATGCGGCTTTCAGCGATTTATTTATGTTTCATGTGTAATTCATTGTTCACTTATTTTGATGTAATTTTGACATAAATGTAGTTAAAATCAGAATTTTATATCAGATTAAAAAACTCAAACATGATTATACTGGATTTGTTTACATTTAAAAGAAAATAATGAGGCTTGGCAATATTTTCTTGCAGCTTTTGTGGAAGAGATTTGTGGATTGGTTATTGTCCGTTTATCTGAACCGTTTCGATGGTGAGTAGTAAATAAGTGTTGCATAAAGTTGAGTTTCGTAGGTTACATTTTCTCAAGAAAAAGGAGAATGCAGGAAGATAATGTGATGACTGTTTTGGTTACTGGTGGTACTGGTCTTTTGGGACGTGCTCTTCAGCAGGTTACTTTCTCTCCATCTATTTATTTACATTAATGGGCGAGGATATCGATTGTTAATATCTAATTTAGAAATATGAGTATGGATACATTTACCGTTTTTAGTTTTGCTTTGACTGTTAAAATAGGCAGAATTCCATGGTTATGATCTAAAATGGTAGGTAAGGAGTGATGTAGTATTTTATCAAATGATGGAGTTTTGAGCATTAGAATAACTAGTAATCAAATGATTTAGTTTTGGTTATTAGAATAATAAAATATGTTTTGAGCAATTTTGTATTATTTTACTGGTGATTCTTAAGAAGAGCGGCGTCATTAGGAAGATTGAGTAATAACTTTCATAATACTTCAGGATTAATTTTTGCAGCTATAGTACATCATTTTTTTATTGGCGGTAAAAAACTAATCATTTTTTAGATTGTTACAACTGAAGAAGCTCGATCAAATGAAAAATGGATATTTGTAGGGCAACAAGATTGTGATCTAATGGATCGTGAAGCTACACGTCTTCTTTTTAGCAAACATCGACCTTCTCATGTAGTTCACCTAGCAGCTTTAGTTGGAGGTCTTTATCACAATCTTCGTTGTAATTTGCAATTCTTTCTAAAAAATATGGTAATTTTTGTGTTGTATTTTTATGTTGAAAATGCTCATGTGTTTGAGTACAGTGAGTTTTTAGATTCATTCAAGCCAAAGTATTCTTTAAACGAGGATTACTTAATTTCATAAAGAGAATGCCATAAGTTAAAGTCTGACAAAAGTTAATATCACTAGAGTACAAATTCCTGTGTGTTGATAGTAGATTTTCATGAATTAAGAAAATTGGATTTAAAGTAAATCATGTGGTCGTACTGCTATGGATTTGAGTTTCTTATGAAAGTAAGTTTGCCTTCAGTCACGCAGACTCAGTCTATGAGCAAAGTTATCGAATCATTTAATTATCTGAGACTCTAGTGTTTCAATCATTGTCTGCTTGAATTGATCTTGAAATCCCCG